CGGCCGGGGGCCTGCAGCAGCTGGCAGCCAGCCGCCGTGAAGAGCAGGCCGCACGGGTCCCACCCGCTGGTGGGCGTCAGCCCCCGCGCTCCCCTCATTTCAGGACAGGCGCCTTCAGGGAGAGGGCAGCGTGACCATCAGCACCCAAACGGCCAGCTCCCTGGCCAGAGAGGCCTGCTGGTTGCAGAGACCCCAAGCGCAGGGCCGCCCAGCAGGTGTTGTCAGCAGTCTCAGGGCAGACGGCCTCTGGGAGCTGTCTCCCCTCCTTCCCCCCGAAAGCTGGTACCTCAGGAGGCTGAGACCCCACCATCGTCAGGTAGACCCTAATGTCGGATGCTAAATGTGAGGGGTATGCTTTTTAGAACCCAGGGTCGGTGATATTTTCGCATTTTAACCTAACAGCCTTAACCGAGGCGTTGGGGAAAGCTGTGCTTTTTAAATTATTTCATTGCAACCTCTTCCACTGACCCTCTGAGCTCCGGGGAGCAAAGCTGTCTTTGCTCAAAAAGACAGTCCTGCTCGCCCACTCTGCACGCCCGCCCTCCAGGCCGGGCCAGAGCTGGGCGCGTGGAGGGACGTTGTGTCGCCAGCGTGCTCCCGAGAAGGGGCTGCCAGGCGAGCGGGGATTTATGAGCGGTTCCATTTAATCAGTGTGTGCGACACCCTCCTGGACCGAGGCTGCGACACGCCTTACGGGGGTGAGTGCAGGGACAGGCAATGGTGTGTGCGGGGTGCCCGCCCAGGCATCTGTGCCCTCAACAGCGCGGATAAGTGTGTGTCTTAATCATTTTGTTAAAGATGCTTTAAGCCTTCTGTGTCTTAACTATTTCCCTGGCCTCTGCCTTCGGTTTTATTCCTTCCTAAAGTTTGTCCTCAAAGATTAATTCTTGACTGCAGTGAGCTGGATAAAGCAATACACCTTATTCTGTGTTTTTATTCTCTTTCTTATGTGAACGTTGCCCATGGGGCAAATTCTGTGTCTTCCTGTCTCACCCGGTCCCAGAACACTGTCCACAATGAACAAATACACACACGGCGACGGGAGCCTAACGTTTCCAGAACGGCTCTCTGTCCCAATGCAGCCCCCGAGCAGTCAGGCACACACGCTGCCCTGCTCTTGCCGGCATTTCAGTGTTAGAGATGCTCGCCTCCTCTTCCAATGCCCCCCACCCATCGCCGAAAATGCAAACTCAGCCTTCCCAAGACGCCAAAAACCACTGACCAGGCACAGCTCGTACCTCTTTATAAAAGATGAAGCCCTGGCCTGGCTGGTGTGGCTCAGTGGTTGAGCATCAACTCATGAACCAGAAGGTCATGGTTCGATTCCTGGTCATGGCTCAATCCCCAGCAGGGGGCGTGCAGGAGGCAGCCAATCAATGATTCTCTCTCAGCATGGATGTTTCTGTCTCTCTCCCCCTCTCTCTTCCTCTCTCTGAAATAAATTAAAAAATAAAAAGATGAGGGGCCTGACGATTCAGCTCTTGGTGATGGCAGGCAGCTAAGCGTAACCTTAGATCCGGGAAGATCGTCACCTGGCCGACTTACTGATTCCCGCAGACTGCGAAGCAGGTCAGGCAGCATTTCCACTTTAAAGACGAGCAAACTGACAACGAGAAACGTGAAGTGACTTTTTATCGAAGGGAGGGAGCAGAAATGAAAATAAAATCGAAGCAGAACTGAAAGGAGATTTAAGGCCAGGACCCTTGCTTGTCTCATGGACTGAGTTTCCCAGCAATTAGTTACCTCCTCGCCCATCTGGTGAGAGCAGCCGGCAGAAATCATTCTCTGATACTAATAGTGCGAGGTGGTCGCAGGAGTGTACGGAGGGAAGGGTAGGTGACAGTCGCTGCAGCGGCAACATTCTGCCCTATCTCCGTGGACCACAGAGTTCCAGGCACTCCCACACCGTGTTTCATTCACTCTTCAACGTCCCCCTCCCCCATGAGTTAGGCAGGCGCCCCCCACGCCCAGCACCCGGGGATTCAGAAAGAGCACTCTGCCTCCCATCATAGCACCCAGGTGACCACCCAGCTCTGGCAGGTGCTGCCCGGTCCCTCCTCAGCGTGGTTTCACTTTGCTCACCAGGCGGGCAGCCAGCCAGCCGACCGCACCTGCAGGCCCAGCTGCCCCTGTGGGAAGGAAATTGAAAGAAGGGAACCAGGCAAGAAGGGCAGGTGAGGGAGAGCTTCTGGGAGGGGGTCTCAGGAAATCCCTGAAGGAGGTACCACTGCAGGGGGCGGGGCTGACCTGGGCTGTTCCCGAGAGGGTGGGCTCCAGCTGGGAGCAAGGAAGGTGAACATTCTGCCTCCTGGTCTCTGCCGAGGGTGTCCCTCTAGCTGTGGCACCGGCCTTCAGGCACTGCTTGTCACTTCCTGGCTTATCCGGCTGCCCACAGCAAAAAGTCTCTCCTTTGGGTTGAGGGTGAAGCTTTTGGTTTTCTCACTGTCCATCCAATCTGCGCCTCGGCCCCAGGAACTTATCCCCAGGGAACTTATCCCCAGGGAACTTATCCCCAAGTCATGTGAGATCCACTGCCAGGCACTCTGCAACTCCACTTTTGGAAACCAGTCCATCACCAAGGTGCCAGTGGCCCCTGGCGTCCTGGTGGGGAGCTGTGGGGAGCCGTGGTTAGAGCACCTGCTGGAATGCACACGTGCTGGCACACACGTGCCAGGGAAGTCTGTGGTCCACAGATGCTTTTTCCTCAGTTTGCCTGTAAGCCTGTTCCACAAGTTCTTTGGGTTCCCCTTCTCCCAGCTGTGACACAGCGGGGGCAGCAGCATCACGCCCCCTGCCGTTCAGCTTGTGGAATTCAGGAATCAAGTGGGACCGTGCCTTTAAAGGACCTCAGAAACCCCCTTCATTTCTGCAATGAACGCTTCCTATTTGAGTGGTGATGAAGGGCAAAGCACACACGTAGAAATGGTCTGGAAATTATGGAAACAGCATCCAAATGGCATTACCTTAGCATCGATGGCAATTCACAAGCAGACCCCCAGGCTAATTGTTCTTTAAGAAACATGAAGGGAGAAGGGAGGGAAAGTCAGACCCTGAGACGTGGAGCTGTCAGCCTGCTTGATGTTAAATAAAACCTACCCAGACTCAGCTGAGAATTTTAGCAGAATCCAAACGTGCTAAAAAAAAAAAAAAAAAAAAAAAAAAAAAAAAAAAAAAAAAAAAAAAAAAGGCACAGCTCCATCTCGAAGGTTCGCAGCTAAGCTGGCTTCGAATCACACATGCCAAGGTTAAAAATAAAAAGCAGCCATCCCTGAATGACACGGCGCTGGTGACACGGGAAGAGGGCACAGCGCCTGTGCAGGCCGGGGGTTGGAGGGCGCACTATGTAACGGCCAGGTGCCGGCATTCTGTGACTTTTGCACATAGAAAGCACTTCACATTGGCAACGGGCTTCCCAATGACCTCCAGCCTTTCCCCCAGGGACTCCTGCTGTGACCACACAGGGCTCTGCGGGCATGCACTGGCGTCCCTGCCTGGGGCCAAGCTCCGGCTCTGCCCTTGCTCACCTCCGATGCCCAGAGGGTACCGGTGGGACACAGCTTGGAAAGCACCAGACCCGCCTTTCTGGGCCACCCCATTCCACTGAGCCATCGTAATGGCCTGGGCCACCCCGGCCCCCTATCCCAGCGGGGCTCTCCCGGAGACAGACAGACTGCAGGCCTGCCTGTCTCCCGAGGGTGGCAAATGTGCCACCTTGCTCCCACAACCATGCCCACTGAAGGCTAACCGGCAAAGAGGGGAGTCAGCCCGTTGCCCCCCTTCTTGCAAACCCAGGGCCCCCTATTATGAGCTCCGTGGGGTCCTTCTGGGGTCCTTCTAATAAAGTTGTCCTTTGCCCAATATACTTAGGACTTTCTACTTCCTAATGGGTTTACTTTTATACACATTTTAAAAATTAGCCTCAGCTACTGTGCAGGTACCATGTTACCCTCCCCAGTTCCAATCCTAGGCAGACCTTTCTAGAAAGTCTTTACAGGGTCAGGGGGGTGTCTAGAAGTCTATGAGCCATGTGTTACGGGGAACCTGTACATTATAGCATCCCCAGGACTCCCCGCTAGCCAACACATGGGCCAGGCCCGCCCCTCAGCACCAAATAGGGCTTGGGAGGTAAATGGACATTGAACAGCGGCAGCTGCCACCTTCCAGAAGCTTCAGGCTACCCACCAACCTGGGTGACTCTCACCCTCAGCAGAGCACGGAGGAGTGGACTGGCTGCCCCTACGACCCGATGTCTTCATCTGAGAGCTCAGCAGCATCCCGAACGCCCACCTTGGCGGCAGCAGAAGCGTCACCCAGGGTGGCACTACACGGCAGGAGAAAGGCCTGGAGCCAGAGGGCACACACTGCTTCTGCGCCCCGTGTGACGCTGGAGACCCCTGAGGCTCAAAGTGTCTTAGGAATTTGCCAAGCCTCACATCCAGGCATCCTCTCCCTGTGGGAGACCAGGAACCCGGGCAGTGAGCCCAGCCAAAGCAGCGAGCCTGGGGCTGGAAGCGAGCCTGCAGAAGGAACGTCCTCATCCAGCACCTCCGCGATGCCCTCGCTCATCCATCTGCAACTGAGGGGGCCCCTCAACCCCCCAGCACAGAGCCCTGTCGCAAAAGTCCTCCTATTCTACTTTCCGTCCTTCTCAGGGCCCTCCAGAGGCCAGGAAGGCCCGCGGAGGCCGGGAGGCTGTGAGAAGCGTCCTCCCTGCCCGCTTCTGCGCACCGCGCTCCGTCCCAAAGGCTGGACCCATCAGCCCGCTGCCCGCCGCCGCCCTGAGGTTGGCGAGAGCCGTTCCTTCCCTCCAGGGACAGGGGCCCTTTGCCACCCCACAAACCGCGTGTCCAGAGAAGAGACGGAACTTCTGGATACCCCCCGCCCCCCCACCCCCACCCCCACACACACACACAGCGGGGTGGAGGGAAGAGAAAAGGCGGGCGGCTCTGAGCACCGGCGGGGGAGGAAGGGAAGCAGGCGCGGGGCGGGGCTCCCCTTACCTGTACCAGTCCAGCCCGCGCCCGTAGTTCCTGTCGAAGAAGTGGGGCTCGGTGCCCAGGGCCCGCACGTCCGGGTGCACGCGGATAAACTCCAGCACGGCGCGCGTGCCCCCCTTCTTCACGCCCACGATCAGGGCCTGGGGCAGCCGCTTGGTGCCCGGCTTCAGGGGGCCCGACAGGCTGGAAGCCGCGGGGCGCGGCGCGGGCGCGTGGGGCGGCGGCCCCGGCGGGGCGCAGGGCCGGGGCTCCGGGGGCGCGGGCGGGACGGCCGCGCGGGGGCCGCGGGGCGCGCGGAGGAGGCGGCCGCGGCCGTCGCAGCAGCGCAGGAGGCTGTAGCACAGGTACGTGCAGGACAGCGAGAGCGTGAAGGCGAAGAGCAGCCTGCGCGCCCTGCGCGCCTGGGGCGGCCCCGCGCGGCCCGGGACCCTAACGGCCATGGCCCGCGCCGGGGGGCATGGTCTCCGAGGGCGCTGCGGCGAGCTCCGGCCCTGCGGCCGCCTAGAGGGCTCGGGCGGCGCCGCCCGGGCCACGCGGGTCAGCCGCGGGGCGGCCGTCTCTGCCCGGCGCCGCCGGCGGGGCGCGCACCGTGCCCGGGGGGCGGGCGGCGGGCGATGCTCGGGGCTCCGGCCGCAGCGCCTCCCACATCGCGCCGTCCTAGGCGGCGGGGCTCCCGGCGCCTCCCGGCCCTTCGACGCGCAGCGCTGGGAGCGCGCCCGGCGCCCGCAGCCCCAGGCCCGCCGGGGTGGCGGCGGCCGCTCGGTGGCGCTGGCGCGGCCGCTCCGGAGGCTCCGCTCCTCGGAAGGCGGCGGCGCCGCCGCTATTTAAGGAGCCGCCTGACGTCAGCCGCCGGCCCCGAGCCCGCGCCGCCGGGACCTGGCCCGCCCCTCTGTCCGCCGGGCACACCGCCTGCCCCGCCGCGCCCCGGGCGCCCTGCCAGCGGGTGCGGGGAGGGTGGGCATCTGCTTCCCAGGGGCCCGCACCCCACGCGCTGCCTCCGGACGCCGGGGGCGGGGTGGGGGCGCGGGGTGGAGATGGCGCCGCATCCGGACCCAGACGCGGCCGCGGACCGAGCCTCTGCCCTGTGAGCGGAGCCGCCGCGGGGACACGCGCACAGGCAGGGACACCAGGACACACCCGCACCCACGTGGAGTGGAGGAAGAAAGCCCCTAACCTGCACAGACAACCACAGGACACTGCCCCCTCCCCCTCCCCGGACAGACTCAGCGCGGGGCCCGGGCACCGTGCGTCCGCGGGGACACACGCAGGAGGGGACACGCGAGACGGGGACACAGGCTCCAGACGGGACGCGTGAGGAGCGGAGGGGAGTGTGAATCCGTGGCTATTCAGGGAGCTCCTTAGTCCTCCCCCACGCGCTGACTCACACCCGCGGCTGGCTGTCTCACACCATGGAGCGTGCGCCCCACCCAGTCACTCCACCTCTCGCTGGGCGTGGGGGTGCGCGGACCCCAAAGGAGCGGACTCCGCGCGGGCGGGCGGGCTCCTCTCAGCGGCCGCCCCCTAGCGGCGGACAGCTGTAGCTGTCCTGGCTCCCATGGGGTCTCAGGTCCAGGGCATTAGGGATTGCTCCTGCCTTGGCCCAGGGAGAAGGGAAGAGAGGGGATGACTTAGGAGCTCCCCACTTGGAATGATTTCTCTGTCTGCCCCCAGGCAAGCCTCAGTGGCCATGACCAGAGCAAGCTTGAGTGACCACCCTACTCAGAGGACCATGGCCCAGAAAGCAGCTGTCAGTCCATAACAATGCCAAGCCACCCTTCCCAGGTGGTTAAGTGAGTACCCCCATAGAATGTCTGAGTGACCACCCTCACTCCCTCCCTTCCCCTCTCCTACACACACACACACACACACACACACACACACACTTCTGAGCATCCTTCTGATCAGGCTCTGTGGACCACAGCCTGTCAGGGTATATTTTGCCCCTAAACCAGGCCCATCCATGGAAACCTTAGGTCAGTCCTTCTATTGCAGATAATAATTGCTACCAAGTTTCTTTCAAGCACTCGGCAAGTGTTAACTCTAATATTCATCACAGTCTATTAGGTTATTACCATTTTCCTACATCACTCTGCTTCCTTAATCCCGATAGTAGCTAACATTTATGGGGTGCTTGTTTTGTGCCAGTAATGTGCAAATCACATGACATGCATTACCTCCGTTACCTCCAAAGGGACAGGGTTATCCATTCTCATTCACGGACAGTGAGATCCAAGCTTAATGGACACATCCTCAGTCGTTGACAGCTGGGGCGGAGGCCAGGCAGTGTGACTCTGTTACAGTGCTTTGCAGTTCCCTCGCTTCCTTTGACCACTCCCCTGTAATGCCACCCTAGAGCCCAACTAATTTGTCTAGATCATTTCTAAACTCTTGACACCTGGGACTGAGGGAGGAATCACGGGTATAGATCAAAAGGTTCACAGGACTCAGACCTGTCTTCTGCAAACTGTTTCTGTGGCTGCTTTATCTCTTTCTTGCCCCATCACACTGCTGGCACCTCAAGCCTGCAGCTAACTCACATCTTTAATGTTTCTTACAAGTGCTGCTGATTAAGGCACATCAGCTCACACTGTGCTTGGACAGTGGGCTTTTCTGGACCGAGCATGTAGGTCCTTACACATTTGACCTGATTGCATTGTAGCTGGTCTCATCAGCTCACTGCTTCCAGTTTTTTTTTTTTTTTTAAGTCTACTTGAATCTTGAATCATGATATAGCTTTCATTTATTCAAAAAGAGAAAGTAGGAATATTGAATCCAGACAGCTTCACCCTTGATTCCAGGTGTACCTGGAGCAAGTTGGTTGACCTCTCCGAGCCTCAGTTTTCTCACTTGTAAAATGGGGAGTCAAGATTAACTTCAAAAACCTCTTTGGGTTCTGATGTGTAGTTCTATGGTTCTGTTATTCAAGACAACCCTTCTATTGGCATCATGTCATATCTGTGTTTGATTACAATTTAATTCCTCACTAAAGTTGTTAATAAAAATGTCAACACAGATATGTTGAAAAGAGTTCTAATAGGCACTTTCACAAGTAAACATGCTATTTCTGCCCTCCTTTCTTAAAGTTACAAGGTTAAATGAGATTAACTCATTCTGACCAGCATTTTGATCTTTGATCCTTCTCTTAACTCTGTGCTTGGCTTCGTTTTAAACTTAGTTTTCCTTTGAATGTGTATACTCTGAAGTTCTCGGTATTCTAATACACCAGAGCCAGCATCTTTGTGTCTTCAAAGTTCCACCCAAAGTAACGACCATGGGATAGGCATGGGATAGTGTCTCAGGAGTCAGATAGGGGACAGGCCTGCCTAGTACTTCCCACCCCTTTTCATAGCAGCACCATGAGTTTCCTTTGGAAGGATTGAGGAGGATTATGTTGGGTTATGGTTTGTCAAAGGCACTCCTGTTCCCTTTTCTACCACCTGGGAGAAGGTGAAGGTGAGTCAGGGCTGGTGGCTCCAGTGTTAGGGACCCAAGCTCCAACATGTGTCTCCTCCATTCCGACACAGCCGGTGGCCCAGGCGCCTTATTCGCCTCCAGCCATCATGACCGCATTCCAGACAAAGGCAAGGAAGCAAGGACAGAGAAGGACCTGGCACATCCCTCTGAGGACATTTCCTGGATGCTGCATCCATTGCTGCCACTTATATTCGGTTGGTGAGAACAAAGCCTCTGGAGATCTTTCGGACTGTAGTCTTCACTCTGCGTGGCTCGCTGCCTGGCTAACGTGGGCGTTGGGTCATCCAGAAAGAACCAAGAAAAGTGATGGAGAGCAACTAGTAACCCCAATGTCTTGGAGAAAAGCTTCGCTCTCATTCTTCTCCTGTGTGGTTTGTGTGGGTTGATCCTAGTTCAAGGGCAGGCATATGACCAAGCCCGAACAACTATAATTTTCTAATCGTACTTTATTGAAAGCAACTCAGGCCTCCAGTGAGCATCAGCCACAGGACTTTTGTTGGAAAAGAGAGACGCTTGTTGGTCTGAGGTGATGAGCTAGTGCAAAGTGAGCCTGGAGCTTCCAGTGGCCACCTCGCCAGCAGGAGGGGGAACGGGACTGGAACAAACACAGAGGAGAGCGGACTGCAAGGTGGGGCTCAGACAGCACCCTGTCAGCGCCACACCCAGCTGCGCCAGAAGCATGGTCCCTGCGCTTTTTTGCTTCAACTGATTAGTTATCTTTCTGTTACTTGCAATGAACGAGTCCTGACCAATGCCAAAGAAGTAGCCACATCAGTAACAAGGAGCAGGGACCATTTTCATGGGAGACGGTGGAGGTGGGGTGGAGACTTGCTTTAAAGGATACGTTTGGACAGGACTGGAACCCTTCAAAAAGCAGTCATAGGATCTAGCTGCTTTCTCCATTTTCTCTGCTGCTCTTTGTTCCTTATTCATTTCCTTCTCACTCATACCTGCCCCGCCTCCTGCCCCTCCCATTTATTTAGGAATCAGTAAGGGTTACTGAGTTGCAAGCAGCAGAAACGGAACCTGGCTAATGTAAGCAAAAAGAAGAATTCAGAATAGCTCATACCGAAAAGAATGTTGGGAGAGCTGGCAGGGCTGAGAGCTGGAGTGTCAGAACGACATCACAGAAGGCACTGCTCCTCCCTCGCCGAGGCGCCTGTCTCTGGTGCATCAGCATTACCACGGATCCCCTTCTCACTCTGACACCCTGCATTCCAGACCTTGAATTTGAAAATTATAAAACAAGGACATTTTCTTTTCCTGAAGTCGTTGGACCAATCAAGCCTTATTATTCAGTTTTAGTTCAATGTAAGTTTCACATCTTCCTCTCTCGAGCTGAGTTCTGTGAAATGTGAGAAAATGTTCCAAAGAGGATAGTTCTGATGAAGCGAAGGACTGTGAGTTGGAGTCATGTGGTCTGCAGGTTGTGTGAAGTGCCAAGTTCCCATCCGAGCCAGGAGGATGCGACAGCCAATTCCACATTTGGGGGGAAGCTGGGAGAAGGGTGAGATGATTTTACATGCTAGTACACTCTGTACCCTGGACAAAATCACAGGTACATGCTAGTACACTCTGTACCCTGGACAAAATCACATGTACATGCTAGTACACTCTACCCTGGACAAAATCACAGGGCAAAGGTTCAAGAAGCCAGATACTGCCTGCAGAAGGAACCAGATCTCCCATTTGAAGCCCTTTGTAAGATTCCAAATGTTTTGTCATCTCCATGTTGGCTTGCTTCTGCTATTCACGAACGTACTTCTAATAATGGGAGGTGCCATTTACTGCGCATTTTCTCAGCTGCAGGTACTAGGCTAAGCATTTAGATACATTACCCAGTTTAATCCTCTCCCCATGCCGGGAGGACGGGGATTACTCCGATCTGTACTTGGGGAATTAGGAAGCGGTCTGAAGCAGGGTGGATTTGCCATGTTCTCGTATGCGCCACAGGCTGGAGAATGGG